TAAGATCTTTTTCTTGGATACACTAGCTAACAATAGTTTTCATTCTAGATATTTTTCTTGGTTAAACTTTGTTCATAGGGATGTCGCAAAAGACTTCTTGTTAGACAAGCTTGGTACTCAAAGGCTTAGAATCTCTTCTTAAGGAGTTTTGGTTTGGTCCCCCTTTTTGTTCTTACTCTTTTGCCTTTTTATTAGATTTTGATTTGTTTAAAAAAAAAGTTAAGAAATTTTAGCCTTTTCACACCTAGCTCAGTTTAAATAATATAACACATCTCATTTAAATAATACAAGTGACATTTTATCATCCCTCAAAATATTTTCTTCAAAGAATGATTCTCATAAAATTTTACATACACACTTTTGATCCATCCTGCAACTTAGCGACGATTTTTACAACTTAACGACTGAATTAGCGACAATTTTAGCAACAATTGATTACTTAACGACTGAATTAGCGACAACTTTAGTATTAAACCAAAAGTGTGAATGAAAAGTTTTAGGAGGATAATTATTTGAAGAAAATATTTTGAGGGACCAAAAATAAAATTTATATTTCAGAGGATCACAAACATATTTAACCCTAAAATAAATTGTAGAAGATAAAAATGAGTTTTAGTTAAAGTAATAAAGATAAAAGTGGAAGAAAAATGATAAGGTATAAACTATATGCTAAAATGGTATTTGAAATAGCGTATGAATAATAAGCTATAACTTAATAAAATAAGCTATAAATTTGTGACGAAAAGATCATTATCAAAGAGGTTTTTTTTTGTCATATGAGTTTATAAACTATAAACTCAAAAATATGTCAGGACAAATAAAGCTAAATCTTTCTAAAAAATTTAAAGAGACTAAAAGTAAAATTTAGATTTTTTTTACAAGATTACTCACCTAAGTGACTAAATCTTTTGATATAAGAGAACTTGTTATCAATAATATTAAATTTCACCCACAAAATTAAAAGTATTTATAAAAATTAAAAATATATTTAACAAACAACAACAACCAAACCTTGTCTCACTAGGTGGGTTCGGCTACATGGATCAATTTCTACCATAATTTTTTATCCATGATCATACTTTTATCTAAATTGTTAAGCTCAAGATCTTTCTTAATAACTTCTATTATATTTTTCCTAGATCTTTCTCTACTTCTAACTATTTAACTCCTCCCCATCTAATATACTCTCCTTACTATAAAATCTAAAGGTATTTTCTATACATGTCCAAACCACCAAAGTCCATTCTTTACCATTTTTCTACTATACTACCATAACACCCTCTTTAATATTGTCATTTCTAATCTTATACCACATATTCAACGCAAAATCCTCATCTCTAGTATGCTTACTTTATTCTTGTGTTAATCCTCATCACATATCTTACCACATTCCGATAAAACGTTCCCTTTAAATTGAATGGTACCTTTATATCACATAAAATACCTGAAGCCCTCCTCCATTTCAACCACCCAACTTGAATTTAATGGTTTACATCCTCCTTTATTTCTCCATCGTTTTGTATTACAAACCTAAGATATTTAAACTGTGTGGCTGTTGGGATGATATTATCTCCAACCTTCATCTATAGGTTAGAAACTCTTTTCCTTTTGCTAAACTTACATTCCATATATTCCGTCTTACTTCCACTTAGGCGAAAGCCATGCGTTTCTAAAGCTCACATCCAAGTCTCCAAACCTCGTTTAAATCCTCCTTCGTCTCTCTTCATAAGACTATATCATCTGCAAAAAACATGCATCTTAGTGCTAACTCTTGGATGTGCTCTGTGAGTATATCCAAAATTAAAGTAAAAAGGTAGGAGCTTAGGATTGAACCTTGGTGCGAACTTATTGTAATGGGGAAATCGTTCGTCTTTCCACCTTGTATCAGCACACTAGTTGATACCCCCTCATAATATCTTGGATAACTCAAATATATGCAATTATAACCCCTTTCTTCTCTAAGCATTTCCATAAAATCTCTTTAGGCACTTTATCATACACCTTCTCTAATTAGTCAATAAAAATTACGTGTAAGTCTTGTTGGTCAATTCGATACCGCTCCATCACCTGTCATAGTAGATATTTCACTTTCATGGTCGACCTTTCAAGCATAAAACCAAATTGATTCTCAGTGACTTGAGTCTATTTTCTTAGTCTTCATTCAATCATTCTTTCTCATAACTTCATGGTATGACTCATAAGCTTAACTCCCTATAATTTGCACAATTTTGTATATCTATTTTATTCTTATAGTTCGAAACTAAAGTGTTTCTTCTCCATTCATCCAACATTTGCTTTGATTTTATAATTTCATTCAAGAGTTTGGTGAACCAATCAATACCTCTATCTCCCAAAACTTTTCACACTTTAATAGGTATGTTGTTTGGCCCAATCGCCTCACTGTTACTCATCCTTTTCAACGCTTCTTTTACCTCTTGTTTATGAATCCAACAGTAATAATTATAGTTTCGATCTCTTCTCTAATGTCGTATCTGCTAGAGTCTAGAGAGATATCATATCATTCATTAATAAATTGTAAAAATACGTCTTGAACCTATCCTTTATATCCTTTTCTTGAACCAAGACTTTGTCTTATTCATCTTTAACACACTTCACTTAATTCAAATCTTCTGTCTTTCTTTCTCCTCCCTCAGCAAGTCTATATATTAATTTTTCTCCCTCCTTGGTTCCCAACGATTAGTATAATATGTTTAAAGCTTGTCTCGTTAAATCAGCTCGCTTAATCGCTATTTAGGACATTATATATAGACTAATTAATTAAAAATAAAAAATAAAAAAATGAATTTTATAACAAATTAAAAATTAATTGAAAAACCATGTTTAATTAAGGGTCTGTTTGGTTCAAATGAGGGGGAGGGGAGGGGAGGGATTTTAATGAAGGGGAGGGGAGGGGAGAGGAGGTGAAGGAATTTTTTAATCAAATAAGTGTTTGGTTCAAAAGAGAGGAGGAGAGGGGAGGGGAGGGATTTTAATTAAAAATGTGTTTGGTTCAGAAGGGGAGGAGAAGGGTTTTATTAATAATTTACATTTTTATCCTTATGATCTTATATAAGTCATATGATATTAAAATGTGAAAAATTAGTGCGTATTTTTGTTGGTAATAAAATTTCTAATATTGAGTGATTAAAAAAATATTTATTTGTCACATAAAGTTAAAAAATTGAGTACAATCGATTCGACTTATAACTTTCCAACATAAATTAAACTATATGCCAATAACATCGTTTAAATTGTGATGAATCATATAACAAAACAAATATATAAAATAACTTATTACTAAATATAAATGGTTCAAAATATTTAATAAAATAAATAAACAAAAATAAATAAAATGATATGGTTTACAATTTGATATAAAAGAAAATATGATAGAGTACATAACAAAATTAAAAGAAAAAAACGAATATAACGGAACATAATTTTTTTTATAAAAAAAAACAATGATTATGATTTATATTAATTATAAAAATTATAAAATAATTTGAAGGTGGAGAACAATTATAATAAGTTGATGAAAACAATCGAGAAAAAACAGTACTCCCTCCGTTTTTAATTATATGTCGTTATGGAAAAAAAATTGTGCCAAAATATAAGTCATTTTGTAATTTCTATGTATAATTAATTTTTTTCTTCCTAAAATACCCCAAATTCATCTCTTTTTCTATAATTTTCATAATTAAGTGAATCTTGTATTCCAATGCAGAGTGACATTATGAATATTGTTTTTCAATGCATTAGTCCAACTTTTTATAGAAAAAGTCTTCCTCTCATAAAACTCTATATTAGTTTGTGATTTTTTCAAAATTTCTCTCTCTTAAGAATATATTAACTCACAATTAAAACTCAGAAATATCTCTCCTCAATGTGAATTCTCAAGTTTTATATATTGTGCATTTTTTAATCCTTCTTTCTATCATAACAAAAAAATCCTTAAAAAAATTGGCAATGAAAAAAAATTAATGAAGAGCCATAAGAATTTGGAGGGAAAAATTTAACAAAAAAAAATCTTAATTTTTTCTGCCAGAGTGCTTTAGCGTATCTTTTGGTGAGCGATAGAAAATTTGGGAGGGAGAAAAATAAGGAATTAGTGTAGGATAGAAAAAAACACCTATAAATTTAATTAATTTAATATTTTATTCATGGAATATATTAGAATAAATGCAATCTAGATATTCCATCGACAAATCATAATGATTAATCTGGTATATTTTGAAACAAGAGATTTTGAGTGTTTTTAAAAAGGATAATATTGGAATACCCTATAATATATTTACAAAATTAGCAAAAGTTAATAACTTCCTCGGTATCTGTAAAAATCTAAAACGACTTATAAAAAAAACAGAAGGAGTAACACATAAGATAACAAATAGTTTTAAAATAATACAATTAAACTGAAAATATTTTACTAAATATAATAATTTTTAAATATCAAAACTCATATTTCCTCCCCCCTCTCCTCCAAATCCCTTCAATTCGGAGGGAACCAAAAAATGTGTTTTGAAGGGATTTTGCTCCTCCCCTCCTAAAATTTAAACCAAACATATTTAATTAACCAAAACTTACCGAAATTAAAAAAAAAACTAAGAAGGAAAATAAGATAGAAAACTTATTTAACACTTATATGAAGTATATATACACTTAAGTTTATTTTTTTAAATAAAATAACAATAATAATAAACAGCGGAACTGAAAGCGAATTATGAACCGAAACTGAATTGAATTGTGTCGTCGAACGAAACCCTGAAACATTTTTCTCACCGAGTCCGACTCCGAGTTCAAATCCGAGTTGACTCATCCACCATTCTCTTCTCTCCGTCGCCACAAACACTCTTCTTTCTTCTTCCCAACAAATCAACTCAAAATCTTGTTCATTTCTTCATCCTTCTCTTTCTTCTTCTATATTCGAGGTTGTAAATTGTTCTCGGTGCACCCTCCCTCACCCAATCTAATCTCGTCGATCTGGTTCGCTCAAACTGGCTATGGATTACGAACCCTACGACAGTAGTGGTTAGCTTGCTTACTTTTTGTTCTATTTCGCAATTTCCCCCCTTTTTTAGGGTTAGGGTTTCTATTATTACTTTTTAGTCTTCTATGTTTTAATTCTAATGGGCAATTCTGAGTTTATATATGCATTTGATTCAGTTATTTGAACTAAGATAACATGCATGGTTTAGTTTAGATGTTGATTAAACATGTTTTTGGCTTGTTATGAGCTCTTACTTCTGCAATATAGTTTATTTTAATTTTTCTTAGGTTTTTATTTTTATTTTTATTTATTTATAAATAAATTGTCTAATCTTTTGCTTCTTGTTGTTGCTTCCTTCATTCCTGTACACTTGATACAAATTAAGAAATAGGTAATACTTTGATTGGTAATCAGCTTTTAAATGTATGGTTACCTTTTATTGCTCCACTTACTCATTTGTTATCTTTCTTCCTTAAGCGTATGCTGGTTCTGAGGTGAAAAAAATGATTTTGAGTGAATTGATTTTGTAAAATTGACTCTGGTTAGAAGTGAGTTGAATGTAAAGTGATTTATGTTAACTTCATGCAAAATTAAGTTGATCGGTAGATTTCAAAGTAAAAATCACGTTTAAACTCAAAGCTACAAATCCTAGCTTAAATTATAATCAATTCTAGAGGCAGAATCAATTCTACTTTAGAAGAATCAAACACCTCAAAATGATTATGATATCAATTTTACACCTCTAGAATTGCTTTTGGCTCTTCCAAAAGCTAAACCAAACATAATTTAAAATAGTTCATTGGGTGAATGTATAGTTGCCACAAAAAATACTTAGTGTAACTTTGAATTTGGAAAGCAAAGGATAGATACCTTAAAATTCAACAATTAGAGGGGAAGGGTACTATTGTTTGGGAGGGCCTTACAATTAGGGGTGGGGAGGGTAGGGGATTAGGAATGGATTTTTATGGAAACTCATCCTTCCGAAGTAACCTAATTTAGATTAGTTTATTCCGTATGAGAGCTAGTGAGCTACTACTTATTAGTTAATATAAGTTCATGTTTCTTCACTTACAATTTACAAAGAAAGTCTTTATATGCCCTTATAGATGATTATAGAGGAATTAAATGAAAGAGCATTTGAAAAAATGGAGATGTAGAATCTAATTTTATGTTTCTTCTCTTGCGGAGAAATCTTTATGAGGTTATAGATGTTTATGGAGAATTAAGATGCGAGATCTTTTGGAAAAATTTAGGTGCAGACACTAGTTTCAATTTATACAAGAAGTTATTGTTATTTAAGATTTAGTTATTACAAGATTCTTTTGATACTTTTCTTCCTCATAAGTGCTTCCTGAGAACTTTATCCTGGTTTAGTGCAAATCTTTATGCACTGTAGTTCTGCCTAGCTTTTAATTTCAGTTCATAATGATAATGATACACTATGAATACCGTTTTTCATAGGTCAAATACTTGATTGCTTGCTTTGTAACTATTTGCATGTGGTGATGTGAGAAGTTGGTATTTCAAGTACCATTTCCATAACAAACAAATTGATACCACCCAGTTGTTTGTTTTTCCATGAGTTGGTTGTGCTGTCACGATGCTGTAGAAATAATGTTACTTCTCCTTTTGCCTTGAAGTATTGGTTGCAATGTTATATGTTTTAAATTTCTTAGAGTAATTGTTTACCAGTTTTGAAAAATCTCTCTGATATTTTCTTCACTTGTTATCCCTTGATTTGATTGTGATAATTGCAGGAACCGATGATGATCTTCCGCCAACCCATCAAAATAGAATTCCCAGGGGAGGACGTCTTGCCGGGAACGGAAGATCTGCCGTTGGTTCAATTCCATACCCCAGGGTGTATAGTGAAATTGATATGGAAACCCAAATTCATCAACTTGAGCAGGAAGCATACAGTTCAGTTCTGAGAGCCTTTAAAGCTCAAGCTGATGCCATTACTTGGGTATATTTTATTTCTTCAAACCTAATTGTTTTTAATGTTTGTGATCAGGTTTAAATGACTGCTGCATGATGTGTATTTTCTTTAGGAGAAAGAAAGTTTGATTACAGAGCTGAGAAAAGAGCTGAGATTATCTAATGAGGAACACAGAGAACTCTTAGGCCGGGTTAATGCGGATGACACAATACGGAGGATAAGGTCTGATAACATTATGAAATAAGGTTTCTTGTTGGTCTATCTATGCTCTGGATATGAGATTGTCTTTTGTTTCCACGTGTCTGCTATTTTTTTTGAAACAGTGTGCTGATATTTTGCTAATCAATACTTTGTTGGATAATGACAAAGGGAATGGAGACAGACAGGTGGGCATCAGTCTGGCGTAATGAATACTGGTCAAGCTTTACATGACTCAATTCCCAGTCCGTCAGTTTCTGCATCTCGCAAAAAGCAGAAGATTACACCACCTGTACCGCCACGCACTTTTGCTGGGCCTTCTCCCCCATTTCACCCACAAACGGTGACCGCATCTCATCAGCCATCGTCTTCTGCAGCAAAACGAGGATCTGTTCCTGGATCTAAGGGAAAGAAGCAAAAATCTGTGAGTAGGGAACATATGTAGTCTAGACCTGTTATGTTTTATTTTTTGTATTCATTCAGCAAGCTTGGATTTGGCAACATTAACGTGTATATATTTTTCATTTACAGGGTCCAGTATTACCTGGTGTATCTTCGAAGCAGTTTCCTCCTTCAGGACCAGGTGGAAGGAATCAAGTACAGAATCAAGTACCTAATAGAGCTGTCATGGGTGAACACGCCGAGGGTGGATCTTTTGGTCCTATGATCGGTAGGAGAGTGAGGACAAGATGGCCTGACGACAATAACTTCTATGAAGCTGTTATCTCTGACTACAATCCAATTGATGTATTTACAACCCTGGAATATTTGGTAATTTGTTTTCCCCTAATATTTAGCTGAAACTTTTACTTATTCTCTAACTTTTCAGGGCCGGCATAATCTGGTGTATGACATGGGGAGTACAAATGAAACATGGGAATGGGTTAAACTATCAGAGGTACATCTGAGGCATTATCCTGTTTCATGTAGTGACATCCTTGCATAGTTTTCTTTTAACTCATTGAGTTTGCAATCATAACTATTTCAAAGTTATATTTGGTATCAAATGGTATTTAACAATACAAAAATGGTCCTTATTCCTTAATGATAGTTGGGTTTGCAGAAGTTAAACTGCAACAAAAGCACTTGTGAGGTTATTATCTAGATTTAGAATATAGTTATAATGTTACTACAGTTTGTTATTGAATATGTTTGACAGACTCTAGTATCGAAGAAGTTTTATCACTTTGGGCATGTACTACGTATATTACAATTATAACCGGGGAAAGGGGTGGGGGATAGGGGGTCAATTTTATTTAATTGCTTTGCCAATTATCTCAATTTTTCCATTATTATAAACATTAAATACGAGAACCTGCCAAATTTGTTAGCATTTATGATTAGTTGATACGTCATACATGCCATATCTAAAGTATAAATGTACTATCTAGAAGTATCTTTTCTTTTCTTCTGAATAGTTTGTGACCCCCAAAAGGGCTATAGCATTACCAATGATACTGGGTACATAAAGCCTAGTCCATCTTTGTCTTTAAGACTTAAATAACCAAGGGAAAAGTTGCTATAGGTTTTGAAACAAAGGCTTGACCTTGTAAAATACAGGCTGTTATGCTTGTTCAAAACCGAGTCATCAATAGCGATTGATTATGCTGTGGTCACTTCAGTGTGGCGATGGTATTTGCAAAAATACAGGCTGTTATGCTTGTTCAAAACCATATCTCTTTTTCAGTGTTGGTCTTGAATTTTTCCCAATACCCTATCACACCCAACTCTATTGGGTTTAGTGCGTGAATAATATGGTGGCTGACCCAAATTGATTGGCTCTAATATCAGGATTAATATATTGGGCCCAACTTATTCTTAAAGCCAACTTACAATTCCATTTCATTTGTTTGTTTCTTCCCTTTCCACTTATCCAAACACACCATAGGACAAAGACTTAAAATGCCCAATTTAGGGCTGTCAGGTGCATTTTAGCATCTAGTGAGGTTAATTTAGTGATTTCTTTTCATAGGGAGGGAAGCTTGGTTCTAAAAGGTTGCATCTACTCTAAACTTTGATTATTCTGTCCTATGCTGTGATTTCTTTTCATTAGGAAAGGTTGCATCTACTCTAAACTTTCATAGGGAGTTCCTTATTTTAACAATCTAATATATTTTCACCTGCTTGACACACGCTGTCCTATGCTGTGGTGGCCACCATACAGAAATAGCATGTGACAGCCATTCAGCTTTTGAGGAGTTCTACTCCGCCTTGCTCCAGAGCTAATCAGCCACTTTTGATTATTCTGCTTTGAAAGTTCCTGTGTTTGACAAAACTGAAAATTCCAGTGCCTATTCAGGGCTGAAATCTACTGCTAAGATTAATTAACTGCTAATTCTTTAGTTTTACAACAATTTCATTTAGTGACATAGACCATGATTTGGTTGATACTGAATGCTGACAGTAGCCTCAAGTGCAGAGTATTTTAAGTTTTTACTCAAGTTTACATATATGAATTATGGACCCCACTAATTATACTTTAATCTACACATTTTAATATTAAGAATCATAGTGAAGAAATCAGTATTTGTATAAGAATCATAGTGAAATTTGGTAAAAACTTCAATCTAGTTCCTGAAATTTGGTTCTTTGATTTTATTAATATGGAAGAAATGCTCTTTCCTTGTATCTTGATTATTCAATAATATCTAGAAGATGGTTTTAATAATGAATTCTCTTGCTGTTGCTGTTGATTTATTCAGCTTATGTTAATATTATATTGTTTTTGCTAATTCAGATGCAGTATTTTAACTGCAGATATCTCCCGAAGATATTCAGTGGGTACCTGAGGATCCTGGAATTAATCATCGTGGGGGTTTTGGGGGGTCTGGTCATGGGATGAATAGGTCTGTTGGACGTGATAGTGTTCCAGGAGTTGGAAGAGGTAGAGGGGTTCCTAAAGGTCAATCTAGAAAAGATTTTTTGTCATCACAAAATGGCTCAGGAAAGAAGGCTCCTGATGATATTCAGATTCTTCACACAGACACACTAATACAGGAGGTGGCTGAAAACAAACTTCGATTAAATTATACTTTCTTTGAGATGTTTTGATCTTATATTCTGCATATTTAAGTTTCTGTTGAATTTGACAGGTGGAGAGGGTATTTAGTGCAAATCATCCTGATCCTCTTGAAATTGAGAAAGCAAAGAAAGTGTTGAGGGTAATGGCTTAGGGCATGATTTTCAATTCCTTCTATACTAAAAGATATCAACTATTTGCTTTTCTTGCAAAAAATGGTGTGTATATGTCTGATCTATGTGTATAATTTGATGCAGGAGCATGAGCAATCTCTCGTTGATGCGCTTGCAAGACTTGCCGATCTTTCTGATGGTGAAAGTGGTATTTTTCGGTTTTCATTACTTCGCAATACTCATGAGCTTTGTCTTGTACTAGTTAGTTAGTCTTCTTAGTTACATTAATTACTATTGATACTGATACAGTGTGGAGTAGTCAACCCCAAAAACAGCTGCAGTGGTATTACGTATTGCCGAGTGGTTGCTCCACCACCAAAGATAGTGGCAAGAATAAAATACTTATAAAATTGTGCATAACATACTATCTTAAAAATTGGTTAGGTTAATTTTTTTTAAACCATAAACATAATGTGGCCAGAACACAGATAATTTCATCTGGACCAGCTGCCACAGTGATAATGCAGTAAAAACCCTGAAATACCCTTCACTTATGGTTGCCTTCTATAGACTTTTGGTTTTTGTTTCCATTGAAAGACCAAAATTGATTGACATGATTGAACCCTATTCATCCAATTTTTTTCACTGCTCGAGTGCGACAGTACCTAGCAGACACCGCCTGCAGCCTCTGAATGAGGCATGGCGCTCAGGTGCAACTCTGTTTCTGGGACTTCATCTCTGCAGCCTCAGTTCTTTTCAAGTTTAAGTATCTGTGCTCTGTTTCTGCGCCTATTGTCTGTTCTTGATATCTGTTTTCGTTCTGCTTTTGCTATGGCGCCATCTCAATCTCAACCACAATCAACACCTCAATATTTGAGCTTTGATTTTATCTGTCCCGTGACCTTTTTTGAAATCGATATGTTATCTCTCTATTCTTCTATTCCTGATATGCACACAAAAGTAAAAATAAAAATAAATAGCTTGTATGGGATCTAAACTTCTGCATAGCGGCCATACCGTTACTTCAGAATAGTGTTTTGGGGACGGCGGCTATTTGTCACTGACTATATATAGGTTAGTTGACTGTTAGAGATGTTGATATGTATAGAACTAACTTGTTAACATTTGTCTAACTGGCCTTAGTCTCTGCAGATGAAAATTCAAAACGACAGTGAAAATGGTCTGCATTTTTAAGGTGTTTTTCCTCACATTGTTATTTAAGTGGATTGTTTCAAACTAGCATCTAACTAACTACCGTGCTTTAGGAGTTGCTGACAGTTGTCGTTGTCGTTGGATTGTAAATGAGCTGCACTTCTCACCTTCCATTGTTTCTTGTTTTTGCGAGTGATCACTTCTTTAGTTCTTGAAATTGTTGGGGTTGGACGGTAGGTCTATTGCCTAAAATAACAAAATTCCAGAATGATTCTTGAGTTTGAAAATAATTGATCACTAGGTCGTGTAGGAGAATTCAATGGACTGATTACATTGATCGATCCAAATAAATTTGTTTTTGAGAATTTTAAATTTCAGTAATCATTTTGAATTTTGTTAATTTTAAGAATTTAATTTCCCAACTCAAACAATTTCAAAAGCTAAATCTGACGAGTCTCAATACTTTTGTTGTATCAAAGTGTATCAAGTGATTTTCAATTCAAAATATTCTCCTTCGGTGTGATTGGAATATAGCCATGATGCAGCTTTGATTGTAAATACCAGTGTGCTTTTCAATACAAAACAGAATCATTGTTGAAAAAGTTATTGTTGTCTAACTTAAACTTTGGTTTATTTTGTTGTTGATACAGACGGGGCAGGTCATCATTTCCCACAGCGTCGATCAATGGATCGAGAATGATGGGAGAACTTGTTACATTGTACAATGAGTGGATGAGGCATTATGGTAGCATAATTCTGGATAAATGGTGTATCTTTCATGTATTTTATGACACTCAATTTCAGTGTTTAGTGGTTTATAGCTCTAGTCATGTTCTTGTGGATTAGGTATCATGTAGGACGGCAATTGTTGTAGTTTGGTAATAATTATTTATTATCGAGTTTAAAATTTGAAGTAGGAACAACTGATTCTTGTTTAGTACTCCACATTTGTGATTAATGTGTTTAGTGTATAAATTCTTGTATTCTATAAGTCATAATTGGTGTCCACTCTCTCTAGAGGATACTCAAGTGTCGAGTTTCTGTGTACTGCGAACCTACTCGAAATCGAGAATAGTTATTTAAGTGATTAAATTGAAGATGGGTTAATCATCCATTTGATGCATGTATCAGTTTTATACTCCATCGATCACACAATGTGATGAACAAAGTACTATATGATAGCTACCCAAATTTTGGCCATTTCATATATGTGGTCTACTAATAACAATGTTTAAAACCCTATGTATGAGTATTTATTTCTGAAAAAATAAAAGTGCTTTTAGGAATTTAGGAAAAAACTCATGAGACTTTTTTTTTGCTTTATTTTTATTTTTATGTATGAGACATTATTTCTCTCGTTTTGTGTGTACAAACGTATGGAATATTATTTCTATTTAAAATAATAAAAGAACTTTTCATTGGATTTTTAGTTTTATTGTCATTAGGGTAGAATAAAATGACTAGGAAAGACCTAATAGTATAAGTTTGGGGTAGATAAATTTTAATATAGAAAATAGGAAAATCAGGCAAAAAAATTAATTTAAATAACTCCACGCTCCTTGGGCAGCAACGATATGAACAGTAACGCATCGCTCTTGCATAGGACACACTACGATTATACAATTATAAATTAGTTGTTGTATTAGAATTAGAAATAGCACCGTATTATGAAGTATAACGACGCAATTCTTTCGTTTATAGCCGTTGCATGTCACTTAGGAGCTTGAAACAGTGGCACATGAAGTTTCCACATGCTCTTAAGGGTTTTATTTTGTTGCTTGTGATATAGCTTTTGGTTTGGCTCTTATTGTTATTGAGCCTCCTATTAATATTGTGCACCTCAGGGTTGGATTCTTAATTCATTTTTAAACATGCATAAATCAAACTCTTTGTTATAGTCTAAGTAATATGATTTTGGTTAATTTATTGAATTTTTTGAATCAAGAACCATATTTGAGAATGATTCAAGTCATTATAAATTTGAACTCGGAAAAAACAGTTTATATTTTTGTAAAAATTAAAGTTTTGGAAGTGTGATTCGAATCGTACACTTGCTTGACTCGAAAGAAAGCCAGAGAATGTCTAGGAACGACCTTCACGCTATGATTGAATCAAAACATCTATGACTCGAATCACAAGAGTTTGATTCAAATCACAAATTGTCTGACCCAAATCAAACACAAATTGTAGTCTTTAGAAATGTTAGACGATGACACAAATTTAGAAGGGGGGTTGAATAGGTCCCTTATTTAAAAAATTAGTCGGCGCTACCAATAAAATTGGTTTTTAAAAATTGTTTAATTTGCGGAAGCGGCCGTGGAAAAATACCGTCTATAACGTACGATTACTAGAAAATCAAATATGCGTTTTAGCCGATGGAATTCGGATAACGAGTAATGAGAATCACTACGCTAGTCAGACTATCAATTTAATTTAGATCACTACTTGGTATGACTAGTTCCAATGTCTTATAATGCCAACAAAATAAATGGATAACACACAAGGATTTTGGTTTAGACAATTTATCAAACACTTGGTGTGCGGAGCACTTCAAGTGAGTTCCGCTTTGAGTGAGTTGCTCTAGTTTCCTTGTACAATCAACAATTATACTAGAGTCAAAATCAGTTCAGCACTTACTCAAAACAATCCTAATTTTGATATAATTGTTTGTACGAAAATCACACAAATATTAAGCAAATCTAAAAGCGTAAGGTAAAAGGCACAAGGATTTGTTGAGGCAGTTCCCCCGCCGTCCTCGCTTCGGAGTACGTCTGCTCTCAATTCTAACAATAAAATTGAGCTCTTAAAATATAAATTTAACCTGTTGTAGAATCATATATACAAGAATGAAATAGCAATCAAACAAACGAACTCCTTTGTTGTTGTAGAAGCTATATCCTCTTGTCCCTTGATTAGACTCGAATCAAGTCTTTCGACAACTTGTGTATGAACCTCCGATTACAACTCTATGTTTGAACAACCTTCCGTCTTCAAACCCCAGCCCGAATGATCTCAAACACTCGCGTGTCAAACCTGAACTTCTCCTTCACAATTCGCCGATTACCGCTACTAGACCGACGGAATCCACCGCTCCTCGATCACCTTCACTCGACCGAATATATGTTGAGAAGACTTGTCCAAAACCCCCCCAAATTTAGAGAATCTTGGAGGACAAAACCCTAGAGGTTTTATTCAAGAAAAATCTGTCAATTCCTCAACCCGAACCAGATTACCCAATCACGGTTTCGAACGTTATCACCTTAGACAACCCATAATGCACAACAAAGATTATTGTGTGTGATTGTTGTGGTATTAAATGTAGAAGATGGAAATGATGAGAACTTGAATTGACGCCTCTTTCACTTTTCTTGTTTTTGTAATTGATTCAATTGATATGAAATGAATATAGCAACTGAATATTTATGCCAGACAAAACTGTTATAACTGATAAAACCACCTTTCAAAATTAATAGACAAATCAAGAATTATGCAGGAAACAGCGAGCGGTCGACCCATGCAGAGTGCAGGGTCGACCTGAGCTAACCCGAGGCAAACAGATTGTGCAAAACAAGCGGCTATTCGTCGACCAGAACAAGGCTATGCGTCGATGCAAAGCCTGAATTTTTAGATAGATACAAATGCTAACAGTATGCGTCGACCAATGGGTCGACCATACCTAACCCGAGGAAAATGCAAGTTTGAGACACTTACCATGAGTCGACCGGAGCAGAGGTATGGTCGACTCAAAGACCTGTAATTTCAGAAAATGCCTAATTTTGATGTTTTTGACACTCTTAGATGATACCTATGACAACCCATGAGTTTTAACTCGTATGACGCATATTTTAACAACACTCAGTGCAGTACTAGAGATATTTTGTGCAAGCAAATGAAACATGAGAAATAGGATATGCTTATGTATTATGGTGATAACGCCAAATATCTCTTCTTCCATGCGGCTAAGTTTTGACATCATCGAAACCCGTATCTAGTATATGAGGCTTTGCCCTCACAAGAAATTGGTTACGTGAATATGATTCAAATATGATCTTTCACGACACGTGTCTCGAATCACAAAAAGTATGACTCAAATCATATGATTAGTTTTTCACATTTTTTGGTTTTTGATTCAAATCACTTGATTCCTCAACTCGACTCACACTCTCTGCTTATGACTCGAATAAAACAACATTTTCTCTCATTTTTGTGATAGATCTCTAACACATGTATGACTCATTTTTCTCAAAACACATTAACAATGTTGAAAAACATAGATATCAACTTTTAATTTCGAATTCACAACATACTTGTCTCTTGACTTTCAGAAGAGTTTTAATCTTGTTTTGAGTTTTTCAAATGAAATCTTTTATCTTCAACCTCTTGCGTTGTCCATCATCGTTTGAATCTAGTTCTCGTCTTAAGGTGCGGGACATGTGAGGAGTATTGTCTTTGTAATTAACGTTTCCTTTGAATATTTCTTGAGGATTTAAAGGGTTTGCTAATTTGTGAGTGGGGTTTTGGTTGGGGTTGAAAAATTCAACGAAAAATAAGGAGGTTTTTCTCTCTATAATTAATTTGGTAGAGTTGTGTGGAACTCTACAAAAAAAGTTAGAATTTTTCTCATTTTTAAATAGACCAATGTTCAAGATACTACTAGGTTCGAGTAAATATTGCTGCACAACAGAGACTCGAAGCATCATTCTTAGAGCAAGAAAATTTTAAGTCGAATTTAAGTAAAGATTTCGTAAGGATTCATTGTCAGATAATTTGTACAAGTCAACGAGGATTTAAATCGAAGATTTTTATTTTCAGCATGATTTGAATTGTAATTGTACAAAATAACTCTATAATATTTGTCAAAATCAAAGTGGAAGAAAAAAATTCAATGGGCAATCATTGAAGATTTGAGTATGCATAACAAGGATGAATTGCAGACCCACTATACATCAGACATACTCTCTCTCTCTCTCTCTCTCTCTCTCTCTCTCTCTCTCTCTCTCTCTCTCTCTCTCTCTCTCTCTCTCTCTCTCTCTCTCTCTCTCTCTCTCTCTCTCTCTCTCTCTCTCTCAATTTTGATTATAATTGTATGATTAGATTTATTGCTTTCTTAGAATCACATGTGGTTATAAGTTTATTGCCTTAGTAACAATTTTGTTCTTAAGCGTAGGTTTTGTTAGAATGGAACTTCAACTTATCCTTGTTGTTGATTAAACCTAGAAACAATAATTCTAGAATTCTTATTGTATTGAAGTTATGCATTTACACAACTCGTGTAATACGTTTAAAATTCAATTTATTGATTGATTGTCTTTGGTTATGTGTTTCATCTACTTTCAATTTTGTATATCGATTGAGTACTGTCTTTATTCCTTAAAAAATCATACTATGTACGCATTATGCTTCCACCATGCAAAATATTTTTAAACTTTGAACCTGTTTTGAAATAAAATATTTTTTTTTAATCGGTCAATCTTTAATGAGATCTATTCAAACCTCTTCTCGACTGTTATATTCCCATACTTTGGCCCGACAATTGGCCTTTGAATTCGTCTTTTGATAAGTTCTAATCGACTCGAAAAGTTGAAAATATGGACAACGATGACCTGAAGGGAGTGTAAAGTAGAGCCCCAATTTTCAAATGCAAAAATAATGCTTATCGGATGGACAATATATACATTCACTTAATGTTAGTAGATATAA